ACGCATGCGGTCAATAGGGGGGGGGGGGGGGGGGGGGGGGGGGAGGGGTTTTTTGCTGAGCCCGCATAACGTACGCCGCAATGCTGCTAGGATCCACGCGCGCGGAGCTGACATTCGCTAGCTATCAAATGCTCTGCGCATCGAGCTTGGGGTCACTTCCCCCCTCCGCTGGACGCACATCAGTAAAAATAAGCAGCTGGTGGATCGAGCCCAAGAGCTTCTAGCGCCTGTGAATGGGTCAGAGCGCTACGTGACAGTCGGGCGCAGGCGCACCACGGCTTTCTGTAAGCAGGCAGGGGTCCAGGGCAAGACGTCTCAAAAGTCATTGCAATGCATTGACTCAGACATGATAGATTTGCAAAAGCTGTTCCGAAACGAGCAATTCAAAATCCGCCGACCCCTTGTGGGTCTCTAGGCGCGTGAGATAGTTCCCCCCCCTACCCCCCCCCCTGGGGCCCCAAACCGGAGATTCGACCTCCCCCCCCGGGGCCCGCGACGAGCGCGTCACGGGGCTCTTTTGGGCCCAAAAGGGGATCAAGACGGGCCAAGAAGGCCCCGAGACTCCTCCAAGACGGCTCGCGAGAGCTCCGAGGCGCCAAACGAGCGCCCCCAGACGCCCAAGATGGCCCCAAGACGAGCCTAGAGGCCTCCAAGACGGCCCAAGAGGCCTCCAAGAGCAGTCCTCAGAAGGGCCGAAGCGCCGAAATCGTCAAATTCCTACGGGGAAACGTACATTTAGATCATATACTACTTGTCGGCCTTCACGGCGTTGAAGACGGTCCTGGAGCACCCCAAGACCGCCCCGAGAGGCCCCCAAGAGGCGCCCAAGTCGGCCCAAGAGGGCGCCAAGACGGCCCAAGAGGCCCCCAAGACAGCCCAAGAGGGCCCCAAGACGGCCCCAAGAGGTGCCCAAGAGGGGGGGGCCGAACCGACAATCCGAGCCTTCCGCCCCAAGACGGCCCCAGAAGGCCCCAAGAGGCCCCAAGAGGCCCCCAAGACGCCCACAAGGGGCCCCAAGAGGCCCCCAAGAGGCTCCAAAACGGCATCAAAAACGGCCCCCAAGAGGCTTCGAAACTGCCTCCAAGAGCCCCGCGAGAAGACCCCCAAGAGATCCCAACGATCACCGCGCAAGTCCCATATCAACAACCCAGGCACGGTGGCGGGGCTGCGTTTGCGCACAAAAAAGGATTCGCGCTCTCGAGGCCAAGATTGCTCCAAGACGGCCCAGGAAGGCTCCAAAACGGCCCAAGATGGCTCCAAGACTGCCGAAGACAGATCGAAGACGGCCCAAGATGGCCTCAAGATGGCCTACAAGGCTTTCACTATCGCCCACGAAGTCTCCAAGAAGACCCCCAGGACATCTGAAAGAGGCGCACATTACGCATTTCATTACATTTCCATTGCGTTGTTGAACATGTTTGCAATTGTTGCCTTTCCCGGCTTCCGTCGGCTCACGTAGCCCAAAGAGCCTCCAAGATCGCCCCACGGCGCCCCAAGAGGGCCTCGAGACGGCCCCAGAGAATCCCAACACGGCCCAGGACGCCTCCCAATTCGGCCTAAGACGACCCCAAGACGGCAAAACCTGTCTCCAAATTGGCCCCAAGCTGGTGCAAGACGCCTCTAACCCAAAACCCATAACCCAGAGCCTTGTTTCTGTGTCCCCTTCCTCCTTTTCCTCCTCCTCCTCCTCCTCCACCTCGGCCGCCAGGTGGGTGCAAAACTGTTTTCCAGAGGTCCCCGAGAGGCGCGCCGCGAGATCCCTATACACATACAAAAGACCTCTAACCCATAGCACATATCCCCGAGTTTCGTCTCTGTGTCCCCGTCCTCCTCCCCCTCTCCTCCTCCTCCTCCACCTCCTCCTCGCCCACTCCTCCTCTTCCTCCCCCGCCTCATCCTCTTCCTCCCCGATTCTTCTCCCCCCATCCTCCGCCTCACCCCCCATCCCTCTCTCCCCCTCCCCCGTGTCCTCCCCCGCACGCGCGCCCCCGATTGGGCATCATTCGCAGGTCTTGCATATCAGGGTGCCTTTTTTTTTGCATCGCGCGCGACGTTGGCAGGGCCCCCGGAGAACGCCGACTTCGGTAGTCTTCTCTTGCACGCGCCGCCGCACTGATGCGCCTGGCAACTGCGGGCTGTGAACCCCAGGTTCTTGCAGCCTCCGCACACCACTTTCGCTCCTTTCGCCGCTCGATGACCTTCCACTTGCTTACGCTTCAAATGTTTCGTGTCCGAGAACGCTTCTCCGCGCGCCGTGCGCGTCAGTGGCTTCGAGTCCGCCTCGGCTTTCCGCTTGCGATTCGCTGCCTCCGCATTCCCCCGTCGCACCTCTTTCTCTCGTTCTTCCGCGCATTTCCGACAGAGCCTTTCCCCCGCAGCATTGTGCTTCTTCTGAGCTTCCGACATATCCGCCTTCTCGTCATATGGCGACAGGCACTTACCGTTCGTACATCGCACTGTTCCGACGCTCTGATTCCACTTCGCGCTGTCTTTCCGCGAGTTCTGCTTGGCTTTGATACCGCTGCACTTCGCGCAGTACATTGTCCTAATCCTTTCGCTCCCCCGTCGTCGGCCGCCGCGTCCGCGTTCCGACCGCTACCATGGCGTGCCGCGTCGTCACTCTCTCCTCTCGTTGCCCACCCTCTGCACGTCTTGCACCATTTCTCGCCCGCGCTTTTCATCTCCTCCGTGCACTCTTTGCAGAACGCCGGCCTTTCCTTTCTCTGGAACTCGTACTTCGTGAACGCCTCTACCAACAACCTCCGCCGGCAGCGCTCGCACTGGTCTCGTGGAATTAGTTCCTCTTCCCACTCATCCCACTCCACTCTCTCCCCGCGAAGCACCTGGTGGTGATGATGATGATGACGAAACGCCCACTGAGGGCGCGGGGGAAGACCAACCGAACCACCGCTTCGGCCGCACGTAGCGTCCTAGCTCAGCCCCCGTAGGTCACGCGATGGCCTCGGGCTTGTAGTGCCTGGACCTAGCAATGCGAGACAAACCGCGAACACCTTCTCGGTTCCCAAGCGTGTGAGACTCGTCCCCTCCACAGCCCCGAGGTTCCCCGCGCGGGCTGAGGGATGCCCCCAAAAGCAACCCCGCCTCACCAAAGAAGTCAAACCCAGCAAAAAATATACGGGCCCCAATCCAACGCTTCCACCCTTTGGGCATCTCCAGAACGATGCCAAGATTGCATTAGCGTCCTTTCTTTTCCGATGGCCCCCCCGGGGCCTCGAGATGACCCCAAGCGGAGTCCACATGGCCCCAAGAGAGGTCATTATGGACCCCTACACGACCCCCCAGCCCGGTTCAAGCGAGCCGGCAAGACCGCCAAGATGAGGGGTCGGCGGATGTGGCGTAAGCCTATATAATCATGATTGAGAAGGGCTGGAAGTGGGAGGTGGTCCCCAATGTGATCGACGAGCTATTCCCACGCTTCGCTGTTATTGCCCAGAGGGCTTTGAACACGCAGAATCACGTCGGCACTGAGGTTGGGGAGCTTGAGACTTGCATGACGTTAGCGGCGAGTGCCAATGACCCAGGGACGCGCGAGCTCGAGAGCTGGAAAGAGTTGGCAATCGAGAACGTTGTTTCGCATAACGTGCCGAGCGCCAAGTACAGCAAGACATTGCTTGAGTTTGTCGAGAATTTCGGCGGTGGCGACGGTGCTCCACTCGTGGCGTTCATGGATTCGGTTGCAAAGCAGTTTGGTTGCAATGTTACGCTTGGCCAAAGTTTTTGGGAAGCGCTGACTCACGCAACGCTTGCGTCCAAAACCAATTTGCATCCGTTGGTGCGGGTGTCCCTTGCTATCGCAACCCTCACTGGCGACAAGGTTGAGGACGGCGTGGCGCGTTTGCTGATGAGGGCAGACGTCTCGAAGGTTGCAGGCAAGCCTAAGCAGGCTGAAGCACTGATTGCGGAACGCATACTTGGCGAGGCCATGGATATCGCAAAAGGGGCTCGACGGCATCGAGGCGGCCTTGGAGCCGTTAGGGCAACTATTCGTGAGGGTTGCTGTGAAGCTTGTGGGGAAAGAGAAGTCGGGTCGGGAGGGGGTCGTGCACACGTGGGGCGACATGTGCAAATCATTCTTGAGCGGTGTCGGCTCCATCAAGGGTCAGACCGTCACGTTCGATGAGTGGAACAAGTATTCGGTCTCGAGCGGCGCAGCTGCAACTGCCAAGGCAATGCCTGCAGCGTCTGCCACGGCGACGTTCAACGACCATAAGGACCCTGCGTGGATTGCCAAGAAGGCTGGTTACTCGGTCGGGTCCTTCGTAGTTCAGAAGGATGTTCCAGCCCAGAGGCTTTACGCTGTCTTCAGCATCGGCCACATGGTCAAGCTTCACGAGGTGGTCAACCACGGCGGAGAGCCACACGCGGCTGAAATTACATTGGAAGATCTCCTTGATAAGTGGTCGCACTCGAAAGCTGAGCCGCCAAAGCAGATGGAGGGTGATCATCAGCGGCCCCGTCAGTTGTACATCGACAAGCAAAAGGCTATATTGTACCGAGCTCTTCTCGAGCTAGACGCCAAGCACATGGGAAAGCAAAAGCTGACCTTCTGGCGGAAGCCAGATGAGGTTCGGACCACGTGTGCGATCAAGCAGGGGCAGCTTACACTGGTCCCAGTGGCACCGTTGGCCAACATAAGCTCGAAGAACGCGTCTAATGGGTCGGGCGTGCCGCTTGGCGGCCACACGATTGACAGCGGCACGCCGCTTCATTGTTTTGTTTTGCCTGTGCCGAAGCCGAGCGACAACGGCACCAGCAAGTTCGATGAAACCGCGTCTTGTGGCTGCGCACTGGTGGGTCGCGACAACATACGATAAGGAGCAAGCCAACATGGCTACGAACCACGTGTCCCACGGTGGCATCACGCTGCCAGCGCTGACCAACATTACCGACATCGGGCCGAACGTAAAGCTCCAGGTTTTCGTCAAGCCCAAGGCTAAGGCTGTGCCGATCCACGAGGAGAGCGCCAAGAAGAAGAAGAGGTCGTAAGCATCGCATTCAGCGCGGATGCTACATCAGGGGTGTGTTTTGTATCGCACGCAATGTGTTATCCTAAGCTCTACGATTGAACCAGTCCAACACTCCGCATCGCTACAGTCCACACGTTGCCGCGCCGTGGATGGGGGACGGGGGGAGGGAGAAGGATGACATGAGACGAGGATTGGGGGCTGGGCGAGCTGCCCAACCGTCGGCCAGCACGAAGCTTTCTACACTGGTACGTGCTAGCGGGCATGCAGATAAGCCAGGCGCTTATTAGGCAATTGATGTGGTGTTCTTGCGAGTAGCCAGCACGCCAGCGACGTCAGAAACAAACGCAGTTCGAATCGGCTGCACCCGATGCCGTCCCATTCTGGAGCTCCAGGGGGTAGCAATGGCCATGTAGGAGGAGGAGGGGGGGGGGGGGGGATGGCGAGATTTCGCAAGGTGTAGATGCGATTGCGTTTTCTCATTTGCTCGGGCGCAGCGAAGCGCGCTTCTGACTTTGCATCGGGCTTGAGGGGTATAGCCTGCCGACCTTTGTCGCGCAACCATCTGCCTGATGCACCCTGCCCTTGGATCGCTATCGTTCCCCCCCACCACCACCACCACCACGCGCACGCACACACGCACACACACACACACACACACGCACACACGCCCCACCCCCGCCCACCGCCACCACCACCACCACCACCCCACCCCCTCAGCAATGTTTAGACTGGAGCGACCGAGCGGGGAAGAACGAGAAGGAAACGCGGAATGCACGCAGGGGGAACGGGCAGGATGAAGGAGGGAATGAAGAAGGTATACAAGGTAGGAAGTACACGGGAAGCGGGGGGTACACGGGGGGTGGGGCATGGGGTACAAGGGGCACGGGAGGTGGGTATGGGGGCATGCGGGTGGTGTATATGGGGGCAAAACCTACCGTGTACCACCACCACCACACCCCCTCCCAAATCTTCCCGCGCACCCCGTGCACCCCCTGTCGTGAACCCCAACGCGCTGTATGCTCCCCGTGCACCCCCATGCCCCCTCTCCTTCGTCTCCTGGCCCCGCATGACGTTGCCCCCTGCGTGTCGCGCTTCTGCGAAGTCACCGTAGCCGCGCAGGCTCAGGGGCAACCGAGCGTCTAGCATCACGATTTGCTCTTAGCAATATGCAGAGAGCTACGCTTGAACTTTCTCGAATTGTGAAGGTGGATGGGCTCAAGCCAGTTTGGCTGATTTTCAAGCCGCATGATGTGACTGCAGTGGGTGACGATGCGTTTGTCCGAATCTCACCAGCGCAGTATACATTGAACAGCCTTGTGGCTTATGCTAATGATGGGGTCCCATCGGGACTGGAACAATCGGCCGTAATCTTGAGCAGGGGGCTGAAGGCGTTGCTAGCCCAGCGGAATCAGCAGCAGTCGGATGACTTCACTCAGGAGCAGGAGCAGCGCGTGTGCAGCGGGTTTTTAAACGCCACCGAAACAACCACAAATCGTCAAGCCCCATGCCCATAAGGCTGACATGAGGCGGGATCTCGAGGTCATGTGCTTGGACGTGGAAGTTAAACGACGTTCTGTTAAAGTTGAGGTTCTGAGGCCTATTCATCCGTGTGACAACCTCTTTGTAGTGTATAAGCCCGATGCTTAGGCCGCGGTGATACACATCATGAGGGAAATGGGGTTCGATGAACCGCAGAAGCGAGAGCCGATGCCCAAGAATGTCCACAAGAGGAACGGCTTTTTCCTTGCCAAGTTTGATAAGGGGGGTGATACGAACGGCTACAAGAAGTGCACGGCAATCGAGGATGCGGTTACGTTCCTATCTACCGATCCTTCAGAATATATCGGTGATGCTTGTAAGGGTGAAGAGGTTTCCCCGAGTGAGCTTCCCGACGACGGCGCGCCTGCGGGCTCAGGGCCAGGACATGGCTGAATTAGTTGTGAGCCACGTGGCTAAACATGCCCGCGTGATTGGGGTCTGCGGGCTTCGCAATTCTACATGGATCCGTGCTGTGTCGATTGAAAAGTCATCGGGCTGCATCTGGGCACGTCAAGCCGCGCAGCTGCATGGGCGCGTGTCCGTGGCCCGTCAGGCTCAGGATTCAGCGCGCGCGTGCGCTCGATAGCTTCTCGCTTGCTCGCGCGCTGACTTTCGAGGCCCCGAGGCCCGATATGGCTCCGAAGAGGCGCGCCCCAGCTGGCGGCGTTGTCGCTGCCAGCGGGGGCACCGAGGTCGACCGCTTGAAGGAGAGAAATCAGTGCCTTGAAGAAGGACCGCGGTTTCTGGAAGGAAAAAGCCCTTGGGCTCGAGCGCTTCGTCGCTGCCGCGGCAAACAAGCCGGAGCAGAACGAGCACGCGAGGAAGGTTTTCATCGATGTCAGGCGGCTGCGGGTCGGCGCCTGCACCGTGGGCGCGCAGGCCAAATCGACGCAGCTCGGCAGGCTGCAGCGCGTCGCGGGGTTGCCCGAGGTCTTGCCCAGCGCTTGAGCACGGCTTTTGCTAGCCGAGAGCTGTCATTCGCCAGCGCGCGCGAGTGACGCGCCATATCCGTATCGCGTAGCGCATGCGCTTCCATGAGCGTCCGTGCGCTTCCAGTTATCGGCCCCAGCGTTGACGCTGATCTCTCGAGCGTGGAAATTCCAGCCCCACGCTGAACTTAACTCTTGCATGTCGTCGTCATCAGGTGTCCTGCGGTTGCTTTGGCTGTCATCCCCACGCGCCGTTGCACCGTGTAGTGAACGCGCTTCCGATGCCATGTCCAGGCCGTATTGGATGTCCAACTGTTAGTAGAAGTAGTAACAGTAGAATGAGGGGGAGGAGTAGGAGGAGGAGGGGGGGGGAGGGGGGAGGAGAAGAAGGCGGAGGCACCAATGGCACATGTGATTTCGGAGGGGCTCAGAAATCACATGACCAAGCCTGCGCGCGCACTTGCCAGGGGGAGGAGGAGGACGACGACGCAGAAGACGGAGGAAGAGGATGATGAGGGGGATAAGTCTGAATGCAACACAAGCAGTTGCCAGGGGGAGGAGGAGGAGGCATGGGACGATGAGGAGAAGAAGGAGGATAAGTATAAGGAGGGATGGGGGGGGGAGGATGAGGAGGAGGATTAGCCATCTGCGGCGCCGTCTCATTTCGTATGTGTCGTCGTTATCCTCGATCCCTTCCCTCCTCCTTCTCCTGGCTCCGTGGCCTCTCTCTCTCTCTCTCTCTCTCTCTCTCTCTCTCTCTCTCTCTCTCTCTCTCTCTCTCTCTCTCTCTCTCTCTCTCTCTCATCTCATGGGGTGGCCCCCTAGCCTCGCCCCCCTCCGCGTACAATCAACAGCAACAACAACAGCACATACAGTTCGAGCTGGGCAGGGATGTAGGGTAGCAGCGGGTCGTGGTATTATTGGTCATTGGCTTGTGTCGCATGTGTAGTCGCACTATCTGCCCCCTCGCTCGTCCTTGCCATTGCCCCGCGGCCCCCCTCACTCATCTCGTAGGTTGGCCCTCCACTTCGCCCCATCCTTATAAGGTCGTCACGCAACAAGCTGGGAATGCCATGGGCCCCGACCTCCGTTAGAGCCCCCGATGTGGCCCCACAGTTTCTCGTGACCTAGCTGGGGGGTTGGCATGTCGCACGGGGGCCTCAGAGGTCAGATACGCAACGCCGAAGACAGATCCTCATATGAAAAGATCTGTCTTCGGCGTTGCGTGTCCAGAAGGTTCGCCCATCCAGAAACGACTTACAGACCTCATCCGCACATCTTCCATGCACCTCCTCCGCATCAGCCGTTTTGGCTGGAGGCGCCGCGAGGGCGTGCGCCGCGCGGCGTCTTGCGCGGGCCCGCGCGGGCCTCCTCTGCAGCAGCCGCATCGCTGCGCAGCTGCAGCAGCCTCCTCGCGCTGCGATGGACAGGCTCCGCGGCAGGGACCTCGTCGCTGAGCGCAACCTCAGGCGCGGCCCGACGCAGCCGTCGACGCCGCCGCCGACGAGGCTGAGGCTGACGCCAGCGGGCGAGGCCAGCTGGGATGAGGAACCCAGTATATACAGATCCGGTTCTCTTGGTCATTCTCTCCCCGTCTCCTTCCTCGGTTTTTCTAGAGGGCGATGAGGCGTGGAGGAGGGCCGAGAGAACCGACATGTCTTGTTTTCCTCAGCCCAACCTCGACGGCGACGCGGCATTCCTCGCCGAGATCGCCGAGCAGGTTGGAGTGCTGGAGTACAACGCCTTTCGGCACACCACGTTGGCCGTCGTTGTGGACGACTATGAGAAGTGCAGCACGTTCCTCCAGAATACCGAGGAGAGCACGCTGCGCATGGTCGAGATGTCGGCTGGCATGTATTTCAACACAGGTGTTGAGCTCTCGGGAGGGTGGATATGGAAGACGATCGACAAGGTCAAGGTCGACGACGGGGAGCTCACCACCTTCTATATCTTCCGTGCCGAGGACGGGTGGTACTCTGCGGACACAGTGGACTACAGCGCAGGGTCGGAAGCAGGCGGCCAACGACGGGAAGATCCTGTTCTGGTCCGCGGCGAGCGGCGACTTCGAGGGCGCGCCCTTGCAGCCCCTGCACTACCCGTGGTGGGCGACGTCAGAATCGGACGGGGCGTCGGCGATGTCGGGCCATCGCGCGTTCGAGCAGCTGCTCAAGGGCGGCGGCTCCGACAAGGGAGGCGGCGGCTCCGACAAGGGCGGCGGCTGCTCCGACAAGGGCGCTGGCTCCGACAAGGGCAAGGGCGCTGGCCCCGACAAGGGCAAGGGCGCTGGCTCCGACAAGGGCAAGGGCGGCGGCTCCGACAAGGGCAAGGGCGACTCCGACAAGGGCGGCACTGGCTCCGACAAGGGCGGCACTGGCTCCGACGCGGGCTGGGCGCCGCGTGGCAAGGGTGGCCATGGCGGCTGGATGCCGCGTTTCGCGAGCCTCATCCTGGACTACGAGGCGCGCAACTGGAACGGCTTCGAGGCCAGGGTCGAGGAGTGCAAGGCCAGCAGCGCGACGCTGCGCCAGCTCCTCGGCCTCGAGT